TTTTTATATTATATTATATGAAAGGCCTCGGAACACTTTATTGATAGAAATGAAAATGTAAAATGTATCGCTGCATATATTAAATTCTTTTTTTATTATTATCAAAATAAAATTATTGTCTTGGACAAATTATTGGTCATAGCCCCTATTTTAACACATACCCCATGCACAACCCGGCTACAGGCACACCCGGGTCCCACTTTCGTAACTACCAATTCTTTGTACTCTTCTTCTTTTTCTTTACAAAACCCCAAATTAGCTGCCATTTCCTCTATTTTCTTATTCTTCCATGGATTCATCATCATTTTCATCAATGGATCGGGTCAACTTCAGGACACAAGTCCTAACCCGCCATCTCAAGAACCACCATAATGCCGCCACCGATCTCCTACACACCGCCCCATGTGTCAGCTACTCCCCACCGGAACTGTCTGAGCCGCCGTTGAACTTCAATACCAAGATGCTTCGTGAGCTCCTAGATGGTCAGAACATTGCTGATATCGACTATATGTTCAATTTGATGATGCAGAGCAACCTGTTTTGCCCAAGAGAAAGAGGAGGCAAAGTGTTTGTTGCACCAGATTTTAATCAGTCCATGGAGCAGCAGAGAGAGATGACGATGAGAAGAATTGATTACTTCAAGGAAATGGGAGTTTTCGATGGGTGGTTTTCTAAGAAGGGGCATGAAGGTGAATTGTGGAGATTTGCTGTTGCTGAAACTGCTAGTGTTTTTGATCACTCTCAGGCGATTAAGCTTGGAGTTCATTTCTTTTTATGGTATGTCTAATTTCTAAACCCTTTTTTCTCTTTCATTAACTTGCGATGCATTTTGAATTTGAAATCATGGAGATACATAGTGCTAAATTTTCAAAACATAAACTAAAACTATTACAAATCATTGGAACAAAAGCTTGATTTACGATATAAAATAAACGAGTTTGGGTGAACATTTTAAACCCGTTTGATAAAACCGGGTTGAAATGACACAAAAAAATTAAACATAATGTTATGGTTCAATTTTCAAATCGAACATTACCCGTTTATGTATATACAAGTTATTTTAATTCTTTAAACAAATTGGATAGTACTAAATCGGTAAGTAGAAGAAAAACTTTAGATTGGGTCTATTTGTAATATAGAAACAATTTAGCAATCTAGTTGCAAGACTCCATTTTCAGTTAACCACTACCTCTTCTTGACCTCGTCCCTTCAAATTTCAACTTCTATTCTTCTGACATGTTCATTTTTGATACAGACAAATATAGTTATAATTTATACCTACAAATTAAATACAAACTGGAAGCAAAAATAAATGGATTGCCGCGACAAAATATATTAATTAAAAAGGCCCGGATCAAACTCATTCAATCTGTTTATTGACAGAATACGTCATATTTGTGGGGTCCGCTTTATATAACTACAACTCTAGCACCACCTTATTGACTTACCATCTTCCACGGTTAACAACATTCGATTTATCGTCACCTTCAATCTCAAACAAACCAAAATTTTGAAAATGAAAATATTAAATTAATACTTTTAATTAATCTAATAAATATGGAAACTAAAATATCAAGAAAGAAAAAAAAAAAGGCAAAATATGTTTATACAAGAAACTGAAAAGGTACTACCTTAGGAATCTTTACTCTAGCACCACCTTATTGACCTTACCATCTTCCCCAGTTGACATAATTCGATTTTTCTTATTTATTTATTTATTTATTGTTTTTTTTTGTTTTTTACTTTTTTTTTTTGAAAACGGCTCTTCGCCTTTGATCCCAAACAAACCAAAATTGTTACGTCCTATTTTATTTTGATAATTTTTTATTAGATATTAGTTTATACGTCTCATTCTTTCTATTAATTAAACTGCATATTCCCTCTCTTACTTTCTTCGATAAGAAAAATAATTTAAATCTATTATATTTTTTCTTTCGTTATTTCTTATTGTTTTGTTTTCATCATTTGTTATATTTTTATATTTTTATACGAGTAAATTACACGAATGGTCCCTATGGTTTAGGGTAATTTGCGTGTTTGGTCCTTAACTTATTTTTTTAACTCGGAAGGTTCCTACTGTTTGTTTTTGTTACGCGCTTGGTCCCTGTCTTACCTAAATATACTATTTTTCCCTTGATATTTTAATTTATTTAAGTAAACACACCCCCAACTCCACCCCACTCACCTTACCTTACCTACCTCACCATTTTTTCTTATTTAAATAATAGTCGTTTTAGGTAAGACAGGGACCAAGTGCGTAACAAAAACAAACTGTAGGGACCAAGCACGTAACAAAAACAAACCGTAGGGACCTTCCGAGTTAAAAAAATAAGTTAGGGACCAAACGTGCAAATTACCCCAAACCATAGGGACCATTCGTGTAATTTACTCTTTTTATACTATAGTATATTTAGATAAACATGTAATAAACTGAATATTTTATTAAAAAAATACAATATAGAAACCATACAAATTATTCGTCCTTTTGATAACCTTTTTAACGTTATTTATTTTATTAAGTAAAATACCAAGTAAACATGAAAATTTAAATTATAGCAATAAAAATGTATTGACGTTTTTAATATTCTTTACAAGTTTATTTATTTATTTATTTTTGTTTTTTAAATCATATTATTTCTATAAATATGGATAATTATATTTAATTTTAAATTGAGATAATATTTATTTCTTATTTTAGTTAGTAATTGGATATATATATATATATATATATATATATATATATATATATATATATATATATATCCTTTTAAGCTTGAGGGAGTGGGTGCGATAGATGGTGCAGTCCCTTGCCATATCAACATAAAACACCGCCCTTTCCGTGCGGTAGAGATTGTAGGGTGACACTCCAAGGGAATGCTCCTCTCTCTGTATGCCATTCCAATTAAGTTGTGATTGGTTACATTTGTTTTTTTTAAACCTTTTAAATTGAATGTGGCACCACTCTTAGGGTGTAACATGAAACCACATTTTTGTGGTAATTGTTGACGTGTCGTTTACGTGACGGTGAGAGAAGTGCAACTTTTATAACACCGTTCCTTCTAGCCTTACTTTTTGTTTTCTCCGCCTACTATAGTTGTACTTTAAATTTTAATCTGTTTTTAGATGTAAACCTTGGTGATGATATTTTATTGTCTAATTTTTCTTGCTATCAAGAATGCTATTTATTTATATTATGACGTTAACTTTGGACATGGCTTCATGCAATAACGATGTTAAGCATGGACAATCACGAAAATAATAATAATAATAATAATAATAATAATAATAATAATAATAAAATACTCCTAGCCTATAATATATTTTTTATACTGTAATATATTTAGATAAACATGTAATAATAATAATAATAATAATAATAATAATAATAATAATAATAATAATAATGGCTAAGATATCTAACCTATAATATAGGGTTCTACTTTGAACACACTAATCTACAAAATCAATCTATTTTAGTAGGTTTACTTTTTGTGTTAATATGGTAATTATTATCATTTGGCTAACTTTCATTATAACCTAATCATTCTTAATTTATTATATAATAATTACTTTTTACTAACTTTATTAATATTACTTAACTTAATTTTTAAGTGTTTTATTACTAACTCGTTTTTTTAATTGCATATTCCTTTTTTTAGTTTCTTTTTTTATTTATATTTTATTTTCATTTTATACTTAAAAATTAATGTATATTATATACTTTTGCATGGTTCAATCAAAAAGCTTATATTACTATATTAATTATATTAATATTATTTTTATATTAGTATTAAAAAAATTGAACGGTTATTAATTTTATCTTAAATTGAAATTTTTTTAAAATGGTAATTATGCAAAAATAAAAAGGTTATGCAATTGGTTTTAGATACCAAATAAAAGTTGTACTTATACAAAAATAAAAAAATATAAACAACTTAATTTCAAATAATTGTGATTAAACTTTTATACGGTTTCAAATCTTGAAAATTATAATGATAATAACTTTTATATATGTTTAATTTTTGGATATAAAAAATAACATATTCAACTTAAAACGGTAATAATGATTATAAACTTATATTTGTATAGTAATGTAAAAATTAAACTTTAGTATGCGTGGTTTAATAAAGAAATTATAAAAGAAAACAAGAAAATAAAAAAGAACACTATGAGTTATTTTATTTTTTTTCTTTAGGTAAAAAATTATAAAAAAATAATAATAAATGAAAATGAGGTGTCTATCTTAAAATATAAAATAGAAAATAAGGTGTTTATCTTAAAAAATCAAAGAAATCATAAAAGAAAAAAATAAGAAAAAAGAAAAAAGAAAATGAACAAAAAGGAGGTGTGTAAATGGGAGTACACAATTTTCAATATTTCACTTTTTTTTTCTCTAAAGGGATCTATAATCAAAATAATCTATATTTTTTAATAGGTTAGATGTTAGTTTGGTGTGCAGTGTAGCTTGGTGTGTATAAAGAAAATCCCTATAATATATTACACTATGTTTATTACGAAAAGAATATACAATCTATCTCTTCTAATAAATGAAACCTAAAAATGACATGTATCAGCTTTTTAGAATATATTTTTGACACGTGATATTTTTCTATAATTTTTATTATTATTTTTTTTTTTGGTAACAAATCAAATTCAACTCAAATTTTGAAAATACAAAATCATACCCTAATATCATTATTATGTTTATTTTGCTTAACAAATTAATTCATACTTAATTACAATCGATAATATTTTGGTTTTTTTGACATTTTTTTTAACTATATAAAATTTTTAAATATACCGACTGTGGTTTCCACGGGTTATAACCTAGTAATAATAATAAATAAAAAATAAAACTTTTACAGAAAATAATATATAATAAAAACAATAATTAATGTTGGTTATAAAATCTATACTATAATATAGTATATCATGTTTGAAGGTCTATAATAAACTATTTGATCGAGTTATCCATCAAAATTTTGAACATGAAAAAATTAAATTAATATTTTTAATTATTCTAATAAATAAAGAAACTAAAATATTGAGAAAGAATAAATAAAAAGAAAACCAAAACAAAATATGTTTACACAGGAAATTGAAAACGACAAAAGTATTACACATGTTGTTTGGCTAAGCTTGTTATCATTATAAGTTATTATTATCATTATAAGTTAAAAAGTTCTATACCATTATAACTTAAAAAAATATCTTGATGAAAAATAATTTATTTTGGTAGGACACTTCCAATAAATCATTTTCTTTTCGTAAACTATCCGACACTTATTTATTGGTTTATAAGTTAATGAGCTAATAAATTATATGCTAATAAGCAATATTTATTTTATTTTATTTTTTTTCTAAACACCCCTATACAAACAACATAGTGTTGCTCAGTATGAACACTGTTACCACGGGTGCCACATCGGAAAGAAGAAAAGAATAAAAGCATTGAGCCCTTAACGCTATACCAACAACATACTGTTGCTCAGTAAGAACACTGTTACCACGGGTGCCATATCGGAAAGAAGAAAAGAATAAGAGCATTGAGCCCTTAACGCTATACCAACAACATAGTGTTGCTCAGTATGAACACTGTTATCACGGGTGCCACATCGGAAAGAAGAAAAGAATAAGAGCATCGAGCCCTTAACACGGTCTCGGGGCTGCTATTTGTCCATAAAAACGCTGTTGCGAGGCCAAAAAAGAGGAAAAAACAGAGAAAAGAAAGAGAGACCGGGGCGTTGTCTTGCGTCGAGCCCTCAACGCTAAGCCAATAGGCCAGGGCGGTGTTTTTGGTTCCTTCACGCCATTGAGGATAGGCAGGTCAGCCTCCCGATGGTATTATCTAGCCCATACCGTCTAAGACATTGGAAAATGTAATAAGAAAACATTAATTGGATATGTATGGACGTGTTATCAAGTTGTTCTCTAATAAAAGTATTATTTTCGACAAATAGTTGGTCATGGTCTTATGTTTTCGGCCCCTACCGTCTTCAGAAACGCCCATACGCAACAGCTACCTCAACCTCTTTCACATTTTCGTCTCTACCGACTCTTCGTCTTCTTAAAATACGAATCCCCAAATTCTCTGCCATTTCCTCTCGTTTCTTATTCTTCAATTCATCATTTCCATAGACTTATCATCATCGTCACCAATGGATCGGGTCAACTTTAGGACACAAGTCCTAACCCGCCATCTCAATAACCACCATAACGCCACCACCGATCTTCTACACACCGCCCCATGTGTCAGCTACTCCCCACCGGAACTCTCTGAGCCGCCGTTGAATTTCGATACCAAGTTGCTCCGTAAGCTCCTAGACGGTCAGAGCATTGCTGATATCGACTATATGTTCAATCTGATGATACAGAGCAACTTGTTTTGCCCAAGAGAAAGAGGCGGCAAAGTGTTTATTTCCCCGGATTTTAATCAGTCGATGGAGCAGCAAAGAGAGATGACGATGAGGAGACTTGATTACTTGAGAGAACATGGGGTTTTCGATGGGTGGTTTTCTAAGAAGGGACCCGAAGGCGATTTATCTAGATTTGCTCTTGCTGAATCTGCTAGCGTTTTTGATCATTCTCTAGGGATTAAGCTCGGAGTGCATTTCTTTTTATGGTATGTTTAAAACCCCCTTTTCCGTTCTTTAAATTACCAATTCCTGTCCCCATCCCATCAATCTAAAAACAAAATCTCATCGTAACTTTATATCTTTTCTTTCTCAATCAAATCTTCGATTCTCTCTGAAATTAGAGATAACCAGATATCGTATTATTCGTTGTTTGGGTTATTCATTTATACTCCTATCATAACATAATTTTAGGGGTGGTGCAATCCGTTTCATGGGCACAAAGCGTCATCATGATAAATGGTACAAGCCAACGGAGACTTATGAAGTCAAGGGTTGCTTTGCAATGACCGAGTTAGGCCATGGAAGTAATGTATGTGAAGCTTGTCTTCTTATCATCATGTTAATGGTTTTATGTAGATCTAATCTGTTAAATTTTGAGTAATCTTTAGGTCCGAGGAATTGAAACAATAACTAGATACGATCCAAGCACTCAGGAATTCATCATTAGCACCCCTTGCGAATCTGCACAAAAGTATTGGATTGGAGGTGCAGCTAATGTAAGACCTCATTCATCATTCCATCTTCTATAAACCAAATTACAGACTTCAATTATGTTCCTGTTGTGTGTTTTCAGCATGCTACACACACAGTAGTCTTCTCACAGCTTGAAATTAATGGTGTGAATCAAGGAGTTCATGCTTTTATAGCTCAAATCAGGGACTCAGAGGGAAATATATGTCCAAATGTTCGTATTGCAGACTGTGGTCATAAAATCGGTTTAAATGGTGTTGACAATGGTCGAATCTGGTTTGACGATCTACGCATACCAAGAGAAAACCTGTTGAATTCAGTTGCTGACGTGTCACCCGATGGACAATATTTAAGTGCAATAAAAGATCCAGATCAGCGATTTGCTGCCTTTCTGGCCCCACTGACATCTGGCCGTGTAACTATTGCTGCTAGTGCAATAAACACCGCAAAAGTTGGTTTAGCAGTTGCAGTTAGGTACTCGCTGACTAGGCGAGCTTTTTCAATCAAACCAAATGAACCAGAAGTTCTTTTACTTGATTATCCAAGTCATCAAAGGCGTCTCTTACCTCTTGTAGCAAAAACGTAACTACCCAATTTTCTTACTCTTGCTTCTTTCAACATTTCCTATGTATATTAATACTTCATTCATTCTAACTTTCCAACTTTCTTGTTGTTTCTCAGATATGCTCTGAATTTTGCTTCAAATTATCTGAAGATGATATATGTGAAAAGAACACCCGAATCAATTAAAACAGTTCATGTTGTTTCTAGTGCACTCAAGGCTGCTTTAACCTGGCATTGCATGCGAACCCTTCAGGTTTTTCAAATGCTCATGATCTTTCTTCTTATTATTATTAGTTTTTTATTAATTAGTTTTCTAAAAGGGGAAGACTTATTTTGTGCTGATTTTATATCAGGAATGTAGAGAAGCTTGTGGTGGGCAAGGTTTGAAGACTGAAAATCATGTTGGTCATTTAAAAAGTGAGTATGATGTGCAGTTGACTTTTGAAGGTGACAACAATGTTCTAATGCAACAGGTAATTATTTATATTTTAAACAATGGAATTTGTTTTCAAGAATTGCTAATCATATGATTTGTGTATGCAAATTTAGATTAGCAAGGCACTGTATGCAGAGTTTTTGTCAGCCAAAAAAAGGAACAAACCAATTAGAGGTTTGGGATTAGAACACTTGAACAAACCTGCTCCAGTTATCCCTTCTCATCTCACAAGCTCTACTCTTAGAACCACTCAATTCCAGGTAATAAAACCTTTTAATTTTATTTTTATATTTTGTATATATTGAATAATCGATTGATTTAAAAACTTTTTTTTGGCAGACTGACATATTTTGCTTACGTGAGAGAGATTTATTGCAACGTTTTGTCACGGAAGTGTCGCAACAACAAGCTCAGGGAGAAAGCAGAGAACATATATTCACAGTGGTGAGGCGACACGCTTGATAATATCTTTAAAATAATGTTTATTAAACTAAAAAGTGATAATTTTTATAAGTTTATGTTATTGAAGTATAATACTATGAATTTTGTCAGATGTATCAACTTGCTGAGGATTTGGGGAGAGCTTTTGCGGATCGGTTGGTTCTACAAACATTTCTTGATGTTGAAGCAACTGTTCCATCAGGCTCTTTGAAGGTATGATAAAGTTATATGTATCCTTTTAAAAATTCAAAGAATCGTATATGAAATTGCAAGTAGTTAATGTGAAAATGAATGTTGTTGCAGGATGTGTTGGGGTTAATGAGGTCAATGTATTCGACAATTGTAATGGAAGAAGATAGTTCTTTTTTGAGGTATGGATACTTGTCAATAGACAATGCTGCAGTGGTTAGGAAAGAGGTTTTGAAGCTGTGTAGTGAGTTGAGACCACATGCACTTGGTTTGGTGAGTTCGTTTGGAATCCCTGATGCTTTCTTGGGACCAATTGCTTTCAATTGGGTTGATGCGAATGCATGGTCTTCGGTTTAAAGACATGATATTTACAATAATTACCTTTTGGTTTACATCTTTTACAAATAAGGACATGACTCTCCATATGTTTGTTGTATAACTAGGTAATGAACGTTGCTTATGTTTTAGTGTTATATGTTTTCTTATTGTACACAAGCACAATCATGTGGATCTAGTAAGGACGTTTTCATTTTCAACATTTTATGTCATTGTTAGAAGAAAAATTCAATATCATCTTATCTTTTGTTCCTATTCATATAAAAGAATAGTGACATGTGGAATCTATTAAATCTGTCTTTTAGACTCTTAGTTTTGTTTTGATATTTGTCTTGATCTAATGAATAGGAAGACGAGTGCTACAAAAATTAGAAGGATATTTGATTTCTCTTGTTAGAATCATCATCAAAGCTTACTTTAGCAATGTAATGTAATCGATGTCAGGTCAAATTTTCATTTTATTTTAGTCTACTAAACACTAAACTTAGGAAAAAAAGACAGATAAAACTAAAAAGTATTTTCCAAGATTACAAGCAAAAATTTAGGATGTGCCTTAACTAACCATTAAATACACAAATTTCGCAAGATCTAAAAAATCACTAATGTACTGTTTGTTTTTTCTAAAACAAAATATCTAAAGTCCGCGGATCGCATCTGCAGACCTTTGTGGTAGAAAAAGGTGGAACAAATGTCTGCAGTCTGAAAAAATAAAATAATTTGTTTTTTAACATCTGCAGATTGCTTGAATAAACTAAAATCTAATTAAACTGATTTAAAAATAAAAAAGAACTTAAAAGAGTTTTTTAAATAATTTTATGACTTTATTATAGATAATTAAAAAATATAGATCAACTTTTATGTATTATGTATAAAAAATGAAAATAAATAATATGAATTAATGTATATATTTGATTAAGTTATAGTTAAACATTTTAATTAAGGATAAAAGAATTTAGCACATAAAATGGATAAAAATAAAACTTGATTTAAATTAAAATTTTCAAAATTTTCATTTTACTTTTCAATTAAATCAATTAAAAACTTAGCGTAAATATTTTCCCAAGAAATGAATGATACTACATTAAATACCGTTTTATAAAATTTTGCATAAAAATATAAGATAATATTAGGATTACTTTGTATATCTATATAAACATTTCCAATGACTATTATTATAATTAAACATGTATTTATAAATTTTTCACAAAGTTCATTATTGTGCCGTAAAACTTTTTTTTTTCTTTCAAGTATTGTAACTTTTTTATTAAAAATTCTTTATTATAGATAAAGTTGGTATAAATCTAGGTTTAAAGAAAAAACAAAGATACATGTCTTTTTATTTTGCTAGAAGATGTCTGGAGATGTTTTAAGACTCTGATACATATTTGCGCAAAGAAGAGGATGCACAAACCCTTTTAGGTTTGCAGTCTTCAAAAAACAAACAGTCTGTGAAGCCTAATATATGCGCCTAGTATGCACGGTGCAGACAGAAAAGGTCAAAAAGATCTACAGACAAAAAACAAACAGTGTAACGCCTGAGATTTATAAGGTACAAATCTTGTATTTATTCAAGGATGGTAGCTTTATAAGGTTTTGATTTGGGCCTTTGGGCCTTTTTGTTTGGGCTGATGAGGTATGTACACGAGGCATACCTTCCCATGTACGCCCAACGTACTCAAGGATCAAGGACACGGAAGCCAAGCGCATACACCCAGCGTACCAAAGGGGTACACGCAACGTACGAACGCAGGGTCCAAAAACCCTAACTCTTAGGGTTTTTATCCCTATATAAAGGACATTACGGCCATGGACCAACCTCCCTAACACCCTTAAGCAGCCATCTCGGAAACCCTAGCCCACTTTTGTGTATCTTTACTAACTGAGAGCTTCTTTATGTGATTTGGTTGTTTTAGAAGAAGAAGAGGTTGAAGAAGGAGTAGGGATTCAAAGGGGAACTTGTAGATCCAGGAGACTAGCACCATTTCTGACTCATTTGAGGTATCATGCTTCAAACTTGATCATTACATGCTTAGATTTGATTTTAGGATGTCTAAGGTAACTTTTGGACTCCATTGTTGAGGTTTCTTGCATCTTAATGATTTCCGACCATAATAGCTGTCCTTTTGGATTCTTAGAGGCAATAAGAGTCATAAAAATTGGATCTTGGTGGTTAAGCCACAACCATACAAGTTAATGGGTATTTAAGCTTATTATAGGACCCAAAACCATGTTTGACCCTCAACCATGCATGCAAACACATGAAGTTCGTGGCTTTATGGTGTAGAAGGTCTCAAAGGACCTGGATCCACATTTTGAACGTAAAGGCTTAATGGATTAAGTCTTGGATGAAGTCCTAAGGAAGTTGGCCAGTACGCTGGGCGTACTCCTTGGTACGTCGCGCGTACTGGGTCAACTCCCCGTATATGGTACGCCGCGCGCACGCATGCATAATGTATTCCTTTTGGGCTTTTGAGCCTTAGAGGGTTGGGCCTGACTCTTGGGCCTCTTAGCCCACTATAAAGCATAAATTGGACCTGGGAATCTGGAATCGGAAGCATCGGTCCTTGGGGCCATATTGGGCAAATTGGGATTATTTTGTTTTGGGCTAAAGACTTATTAATTTTAATGAATCCCATTTGAAGGGTTGGGCCCAATTTGGAAAATCGGGCTAGTGGTGGACCTTTAGGGAGTCTTGATGGACATTGGCTATGTTGGATTTAATGTGTTATAATGGGGTTTTATGGATGTTCTTAAATTGAACCTAGGGGTAAAATGGTCATTTTACCCCAAGTAATGTCATAGATTCTGATTTAGTGTTAATATGGCCATGATAGCCGGAACTCATCGGAGCAGCTGTTAGAGACCACCTTTTGCGAGTTTAGACACGCAGTACCACGAGGTGAGTTACCTTTCAGTAGCAGTAGGTCTACGTCCATAATATTGACCCACCAGTGGGAGTTGTATGTTAGATGTTTGTCTTTATGATATTCATCTATGTTGCTGCTACCTGTTATATGCTAGTATGATTTATGTGTTTATGTTATGCTTTATGTGGTAGTGGTAGGGGTGAAATAGTCCCCGTAATCGGTTGAAATATACCGGAGGGTAGGTCGGGCACCCAGATATGCCTGACAGGGTAGGTCGAGCACGCAGATATGCTTGACAAGGTAGGTTGGGCACCCAGATATGCCTGATAGGCTAGGCCGGGCACCTATATATGCCTGGCAGTATGTGATTATGTGGTATGATGGGGGAACTAACTAATCTTCGTGCTTACAATTTTCAGTTTTGTTTCAAGTACCTGTTCATAAAAGGGGAAGGAGCCGACGCGGTAGCTGCACATCACACGCACATTAGATTTCCACATTTTGTGATTCATGGGATTGTACTCTGATTTTTATTACTATTCGATGTTTTGACTTTGTGACATGTTTTGATGGTTGATGGTTTGATATGTTATCGACAATGTTTTCAATAATCAATCTTATAAACTACTTAACTAAAACGAAATTTATCGACTCTAAATTTGGGATGTTTCAAGTTGGTATCAGAGCCTTGGTTTGAGGGATTCGGACACACCTTCGGGGGTGACTGGACTCAAAATGAGGGTTTGAAAGATTTTCACAAGAAAATGTTTTCTAAAAGTTAAAGTGAGATAAGTTTTGGGAAAGAACGAGGTGTGTGATGTGTACGACTGGCTGAGCTCAAGTAAGTTTTCCCCAAGATACCTATACACTTTATATTATGTGATGATATGATTATGAGAACTACATGTTAGATTAGGACTAAGGATCTAGGAAGATTCCTGATATGCCTGCTATATGTGTTTATTGAGCTGCAAGATAATATTGATTAGACAATTATATGATAGCTTGGATAGAGTATGTTTGATTAGAGTACCTAACGCCCGAATGTTGCTTGCTTTATGCTAATAGGAGTTCTAGTTATCTTTACTTAATTAATAAGCGAATACATCACATTACATATTTTGAGGATTAAATAATTTTAGAAGGTTAGCTTTAGCCCTATTTCGTAGCTCTTGTTTGAGTCCAATCGTTGTAGGACAGGACCTCTAATTTGAAGAATTATCTGGTCTTAGCGATATGTGACGGTATTCGCAAGTTAGTTAGGTGAAGGTAGCAGGAACTTCTTATGAAGCTGATGGAGGAGGGTGGGTTGGAGAGTTACCTGTGGGTGAGACTAGCAAAGAGTGCACCAGTAGTAGAAGGGACTTGGTGAAGTCAAAGCAATCCTTGAGGAAAGTACGGATAGATGTGGAAGGTAGTATGGGCCCGTATTACTGAAAGCAGAGGATCCGTACTCGAATCAAGGAGGGATAAGATAGAACTAGGGAACTTGTAGAATGTGTAGGAACCTTGATGTATTATATGACCCTAACACCTATGTGTTGTGTTTAAGAATGGTGATGATTATGCGTCACAGAAGAGGATCAGGGTCAAGATCCGGTTCGGGATTAGGTTCAGGATCAGGTGTTACGCCAGTTGACAAGAGACTACATGAGTTCATTGCTTCCGAGATCACTAGAGGCATCCTTGAGGTGACCCTGGTTATTTTTGGGTCAATCAAGGAAGGGATCATAGAGCTGATGAAGGATTGCCTGTGGGCATTTCGGAGTGACATGGCATCTAGCGAATCAGGGCCGCGCACACTGTCCTTCAAGGACTTCAGGGGGAGTGGTGTGCCGGATTTCCATGGGTCGAAGGACCCCATCGTAGCCCAGAGATGGATTGCAGACATCGAGTCTGCATAGTTAACTAGCTTCTCCCCTAAGGGGTCGAAGGTTTGATTTGCTGCTGGATGTTTGAGGGATAGGGCTAGGGATTGGTGGGATTCAGTTGGTTACTCTTTGGGGGCCTTAGATATTGAGGCTATGACATGGCTGGACATTGTGACCAGGTTCAGGGCTGAGTTTGTGCCGGATGTGGAGCTTCAATAGCTGGCCAGAGAGTTTCTTGATATGAGGCAGACTACGGAGTCGGTGGCGGAGATTACCGCCAAGTTTCAAGAGAGGGCCTTATTGGTACCCCAGTACGCTGGAGACGAGGATATTCAGAAGACTGCTTTCCAGACTCGCTTTGGTCACTACGAGTTCGTGGTGATGCCCTTCGGGCACACCAATGCTCTTGCCGCATTCATGGAGCTCATGAACCGCGTATGCAGACCGATGCTGGATCGGTCTGTGATAGTTTTTTATTGATGATATCCTGGTCTACTCCAAGACACAGGAGCAACATGAGGAGCATTTGTGAGAGGTTTTGGATACTCTGAGGGGGGAAAG